ACCTTCGTACTGCCTTACTTCGTTCTAGTCCACCTCGTCCGTCTCCGTCTGTGCTTCCGTCTCCTCCTGAGTCGGCTCTCACTGCGTCGCTCCCTACTCCTGTCACTGACTACTACCGCACGTACCGTCCTCTTCTCTCTCGTGTTCTCGCCTCGCTTGTTACTCACCCTCGTGCCTCTGTGTCCTCTGTGTCCGCTCTTACTGCCGCAGTCACTGAGTTTGCCTCTACCCGCCGCCTTGACTTCGCCACCGCGCTTGTGGCTGCTCCTCCTTCCAGTCCTCTGGCCGTCGGGGGTGTGTCTGCCCTTGGTTGTGACGCCCTAGAGGACAGGCAGTTTGAGCTAGAGTTCCTGGCGGCCGCTTCCCCTCATCTCTGTGCCATGCTCCTCGCCCCTGAGGGTGACCCCGACGCCCTTGACATTCCGACTCCTCGCACTTACGCTGAGGCAGTGTCAGGGCCTTGGGCCTCTCAGTGGAGAGCTGCCATGGACGCAGAGATGGCCTCCTACAGATCCACAGGCACCTACGTCGATGAGGTTCCCCCTCCGGGGGCGAACGTAGTCGACGGCATGTGGATCTACAGGGTGAAGCGGCCACCGGGATCTCCTCCGGTCTTCAAGGCACGCTACGTGGCTAGAGGTTTCAGTCAGCGCGAGGGAGTTGACTTCTTTCAGACCTTCGTGCCCACCCCGAAGATGACCACTCTTCGGGTGTTACTACACGTAGCAGCACAGAGAGACTACGAGTTACACTCTCTCGACTTCTCTACTGCTTTCCTTCAGGGCAGTCTTCACGAGGAGGTCTGGTTGCGTCGTCCCTCTGCCTTCACTGGCTCTTTCCCTCCTGGGACCCAGTGGAGGCTGAGGCGACCGGTTTACGGTCTTCGTCAGGCTCCTCGTGAGTGGCACGACACCCTGCGTTCTACCCTGTCTGACCTTGGGTTCCAGCCGTCTTCTGCTGACCCGTCGCTGTTCGTTCGTCGTGGCCCCACACCTTTCTTTGTTCTGGTCTACGTTGACGACCTTGTTTTCGCCACCCCTGACAGGGTTGCTTTGGCACACGTGAAGTCCGAACTGCAGAAGAGACACACCTGCACTGATCTTGGTGAGCTGCGCCACTACCTTGGCCTGCAGATCACCAGGGACAGAGCTGCTCGCACCATTACACTTTCACAGTCGCACATGGTGCAGCAGGTCCTTCAGCGGTTCGGGCTTCAGCACTCCACAGTACAGCGCACACCTCTTGCTGTTGACCACAGACTCACTGGACCCTTTCCTGACGAGCCGTTCGAGCCTAGTGGTCCCTACGCAGAGCTTGTGGGTTGCCTCATGTACCTGATGACTTGTACTCGCCCGGACCTCGCCTTCCCTCTCAGCGTTCTTGCGCGCTTTGTTGCGCCAGGGAGACACCATCCTGTTCACTGGACAGCAACTGTGAGGGTGGCGAAGTACCTAGCGACGACGTCAGGCGTGGGGCTAGTTCTTGGAGGGCAGCAGTCTGTCGTACTTACTGGTCACTGTGACTCCTCTTACGCTGACGACGCTGAGACTCACAGGTCTACTCAGGGGTACTGTTTCAGCCTGGGTTCTGGAGCTGTTTCCTGGCGGTCCACGCGCTCCTCTTCGGTCTCGACCTCTACAGCTGAGGCTGAGATCTACGCTGGTGCCATGGCGGCACAGGAGCTGCGTTGGTTGACCTTCTTGCTCACCGACCTTGGTGAGCGGCCGAGCTCTGCACCGACCTTGTTCACTGACAACAAGGCGTCTATTCTCCTTTGTCGAGAGCCACGACTGGAGAGCAGAGTGAAGCACATTCACGTCAGGTACTTTCTTCTGCGAGAGTTGCAGAGGCGTGGACAGGCTCGCTTTGAGTTTGTGGAGTCCGAGGCCAACACTGCAGACATCTTCACCAAGGCGCTTCCGCCTTGTGACCACCAGAGGTGCTGTGTGCAGTTAGGCCTTGTTGACACTGGTTCTCGTGTTGCTTAGACTTGAGTGTACTGTTTACTTTGCTTTCTATATACCTCTGTTACTTCTTGGACTGGCCTTGTGGCCACTGTTGTTTGTGCTCAGACTGTGTGGTGACGTTGTGATCCACCCTGAGCTTCGTTTCTTGGACTGGTCTTGTGACCGTACTCGTGTGGTTCTGCTAGACACCCCTCACTTAGGCTATGGGGGTGTGTCAAATGTTGTAGCCTATAGTGAGGTTTGTCTTAGGGGGTACAAAACTTAGGGTTAGCTATATGTACCCCAACCAACATCAATGCATCATCCATTCTTCATTCTGACACACCCGTCCCTACAATAGGTGCGCATGTTGGGGCTAATAGGGCGACAGCGCCACTGGCGCGCGTGGTGACGAAATCGCCACAGGCGCGTGTGGCGACGAAATCGCCACGGGCGCGCGTGGCGACGAAATCGCCACAGGCGCGCGTGGCGACGAGATCGCCACAGGCGCGCGTGGCGACGAGATCGCCACAGGCGCGCGTGGCGACGAGATGGCCACAGGCGCGCGTGGTGAAATCGCCAACGGCGCAATTGGCGCCAGGGGCGCTCATGGCGCCGAAATGGTCAAGATTGCCTCTGGCGCATGTGGCTACGAAATCGCCAGTGGCGCGCCAGAAACGAACTGGCATGGCAGATGCGCTTTTGTTGCTGAAATTCGTCTATGGAACACCTGTTACTTCGCAAATGTTCCCTTCATTTTTTTTTCCTTTATACGTATGTTCGGTTTTTGGCTTGTCTTCGTTTTCAGTCGTGTTATTTCTTAATTTTTGGTCGCAGTAAATTGGTGCGAGGCAACTACCACAGCATTGCGTCGCCTTCAGAGACCATCTGCCAAGAGAAACTACGGCAAACATCTGGTACAACTCTGTGCGCTCCCGTGGGAGATTGGGACACCCCCGGGGGGTCCCGCGCGAGCCAGAAAAGGACTGGTGGGTCCTGTGCGGTGCAGGCCAGCGAGCTCCCCAGGGGGGAGGAGGACCGGTGGGTCCTGTGCGGTGCTGGCCAGCGAGCTCCCCAGGGGGGAGGAGGACCGGTGGGTCCTGTGCGGTGCTGGCCAGCGAGCTCCCCAGGGGGGAGGAGGACCGGTGGGTCCTGTGCGGTGCTGGCCAGCGAGCTCCCCAGGGGGGAGGAGGACCGGTGGGTCCTGTGCGGTGCTGGCCAGCGAGCTCCCCAGGGGGGAGGAGGACCGGTGGGTCCTGTGCGGTGCTGGCCAGCGAGCTCCCCAGGGGGGAGGAGGACCGGTGGGTCCTGTGCGGTGCTGGCCAGCGAGCTCCCCAGGGGGGAGGAGGACCGGTGGGTCCTGTGCGGTGCTGGCCAGCGAGCTCCCCAGGGGGGAGGAGGACCGGTGGGTCCTGTGCGGTGCTGGCCAGCGAGCTCCCCAGGGGGGAGGAGGACCGGTGGGTCCTGTGCGGTGCTGGCCAGCGAGCTCCCCAGGGGGGAGGAGGACCGGTGGGTCCTGTGCGGTGCTGGCCAGCGAGCTCCCCAGGGGGGAGGAGGACCGGTGGGTCCTGTGCGGTGCTGGCCAGCGAGCTCCCCAGGGGGGAGGAGGACCGGTGGGTCCTGTGCGGTGCTGGCCAGCGAGCTCCCCAGGGGGGAGGAGGACCGGTGGGTCCTGTGCGGTGCTGGCCAGCGAGCTCCCCAGGGGGGAGGAGGACCGGTGGGTCCTGTGCGGTGCTGGCCAGCGAGCTCCCCAGGGGGGAGGAGGACCGGTGGGTCCTGTGCGGTGCTGGCCAGCGAGCTCCCCAGGGGGGAGGAGGACCGGTGGGTCCTGTGCGGTGCTGGCCAGCGAGCTCCCCAGGGGGGAAGAGGGCTGGTGGGTCCTTTTTGGTCTGTGGGTCATTTGTAAGGTAGATTAATGGTTGTGCAGTCTTTGTAATACTTTGCAATTACCTTATGATGAGCCCTTACAGTGCAAGGTTGGGATGCGGTCACACTTGAGTTGGTTGATTGAACAAACGTGGTGAGTCTGAAATGGTGCACAACTCTAGCAGATCATACCTATACTCATTGGGAGAAATAAAAGAAGAAGAATAATAAATAAATAACCACGCAGGGCTTAAACGCCGGCAGATTCATCTGGATACCAGAAAGTTTCATGTACTCTTTGTGATACGAGCACGATTGTGACCACAAGGGTCGGGCTCATTCCGTACAACTTGTACGGTACAAGCTCACACCCATCATCAACACAACATACCGTACCAACGTCCGCTGCCCGAGTCCTTCCATACTGTTGCGGGTTCGTGTAAGAAGCCTACGTATCAGCCATCTCCCATTGATCAACACGCCTGTGCTACACTTGGCGCGACACCCCATCCAATGCAACGACAGAGATTAACATCATCACCAGCAACATCGGTACAAGCATCCGCTCCGTGTGCGAACGGACCACCACCCACATGTCATCTCGCAAACGATCAACAACTCCCGTCGCATGTCTCAGAAGACCCATTTGAAACGAAGCACGTTGCCATTGCAAACACAAGAAAGCAAGCTTTCTAAATATGAAGTTTTTTGAAAGTGTGTAACACTTTCTAAAAATGTGTATTTTGAAAGCGAAGCTGCTTGTAATGCAGCAATGGCAACCGCGAAGTGCTAGACGCTCTTCGCCAACTATATAGCAGGGGGTGGAGGCCATTTGGCCTCCACCCACGTCTTCATTTGAAATTTCAACTGCATTATTTCCCACCCACCCACCCTAGCAAAAACTGCATGTTGTAATGTAGGTATGTATACTTAGCCGGACGAGAATGTTGTAATGCCCATTTGAAACGAAGCACGTTGCCATTGCCCATTTGAAACGAAGCACGTTGCCATTGCAAACACAAGAAAGCAAGCTTTCTAAATCCTTTATTAACGCAACTGCTTATTTAAAAGGGCCTTTACTATTTGATAACATACAATCTACATCTTTAGGTAAACTAACTGTACAGGTATATTTTACAATCTAGCAGACTGTAGGCTGCTTGAGAGGCTACCCTGCCCGCACAGCATTTACACTGGGCAGCTGCTGAAAAGTGAGACAAGGAGCTCAGCTCCAAGCACCACATCATCTTCATCCACTTTATTCCCAAGCTGTTCCGTCTCGTGCCTCAGACACGCTCTCTTTCCAGTATGCGACCTTGTAAAATCCTCGCACACTTCCCCCTCCTCTGGCCCTTCTCCTGCTGGGCTGCCGCAGTCACTGTTGCTGCTGGTAGCAGCAGAGGGAAGGCCTTCACAGCATGACGAAGGCGCATAAACAAAGAGACCAGCACGAGGGCGAGGTAGTCGGGAGCGCGCTTTGTGCACTGGAGATTGAGGCAGGGGCTTGGATAAGGTCGGATCGGCAGAGTCGTATTCTCGCAACATTGCTGCCTCTTGGGGCGATGCCTTGCGCTTGCCACTCCGGATCTTGTTGAACCGAATGCCGCATGCATTGCACAGTGACTGCAGCCACAAAGGGGGGTGGGGGGGGGGGGGGAAACATAGGGAAAATTAGCAACTGATGTCATTTATTTGTGATTTACTCAACACATTTGCATGTCTACACCATGCAAAAAAAAAGATGCTGTAATTACCTTGGGTCCGGGAGGGCCATTTCTCCAGAGAGGCGTTTTCGACGTGCCACAGTGCGCGCAGGTCTTCGCGATTCCGTTACTCTGCGTCGCAGTCGCGTCGTCCACGTCGCTGGAGTCCCAACGTTCGGGCGACTCGTCGCCTCCAGTCACCTCCTCTCGCGCCACCTCAGGCTCGCATGCCGATTTTCGGCCGTGCTTCTGCTGATAAAATTGCTGCAACTGCTGCTGCTGATGTCGATCATGTACCTGACGCTGCTGATGGTGATGGCTGTGCGTTTCATGCGAAGCTGATGCATTCGCGACGGTCGACTGTTTATTCACATCGGGAACTGACATCCGGCTAACGGCTTTATGACGGAGGCTATGGGGGAGAGCGGATCTAGGAGCGGGGGACTGAGGACCAGAAACGGCAATAGATGGAACGGAGGCAGGGTGTGTGCGAGCGGCTGTCGCAGTGGCGAGACCGTGCGATGCGTCTGCGACGTCGTCGCGATTGAAGAACATGTTGACACCGTGGCAGACGACAGGGGAGCCGTCGCTGACCGCGGGAGTCGCAGGCGCTTGGGAGGAATCCTGTAGCGATTCACGAAAATTCCAGAATGAAAAAAGAATAATGATTATTGAGTTATTGCACAAGAGGGAACAACAAAGGACGCACGTTTTCGTAACCTCAATTTAAAAGCAGAATGATTGAGTTGCATGCGAGGATAAACGGGAATTTCGGCTTGATCGAGTTACAAAAATGTTCCTGAGCGTGTCTGCGTGTGCACCTGCGAGTTTACCTGTGACGTGGAGTCATAAAGCGCAGACGGCGGGTGGTTGATGTCAATCATCGGTTGCGACGGCTTTCGTTGCGCGAAACACGCGAAAGCGTCGCTTGCTCCGTCGCTTCCCCCGTCGCTTTGTAATGTCGCATGCGCCTCAAGCGCAAAGCTCTCACCAGCTCGCACATGCGAGCCGAACTCCCTCGATTCCTCCGTGAATACACGGACGCTAATCGGACGATGAGAAACCAAAGGAGCACCGGAAATCGCGGTAGCGGACGGCGTATACGACGGATCACACGGCGCTTCGACCAGGGGACGGGAGAGCAAGTGACGGAAGCTCATAGAGGAAACGAGGCTGGGAGGACCGGAATCCGAGGATTCGAGCGAGGGGAAAGACTCGAGAGCAGGCGGCTTGTGCCGTTTCCATGGCTTCTTCACTGCGTGGTGATAGTTTCCGGCCATTGCAGGATGCGAGCTCGAGACGTGCAGCATGTCGGGATCTTCGATGAATGGGAGATCGAAGATAGACAAGGAGAGTAATGGACCGAAGAATCCACGAGACGCGCGCCGCGGGGAGGGGAGATCGGGAATCGACGGGATCGAGCTAATATGTAATTATCGGACCGCGGAATGCTATTCTAAGATTGCTGGGATCAGAAATGAGAGAATGATCTAGGGCAAGGTAAGAAAAGGCTGGGAAATGAAGCAATCGTCGAAGGGTCTTGAAAGGATAAGGTCGGTTTGATCAGGCGCGCCTAGACGAGGTGAGAAGAGGTGAGGGGGGATGTTTGCTGCAGCATTGCCCAATGAACGCGCTCGGCTGTTCAAATGCCCCCTAGAAGGACCGATTTCTGCCTCCAAGCTTTCTCCAGCCTCCATGCCTTGCTGGCTGGTTGCTGTTTTCCTGCCTATCACAGTACACTTGCGTCTCGTCTATTCGACAGCCGAGCTGGTTATATGGAACAGCTGTGTGCTTGGGAGGAAATATATTTCGTTTTCTAGACGCTCCCGTAACTCGGAGTTGGCATCCGAATGGATAGGCGAACATGTTTCCCCCAAAATCGAGTTTCGTTAGCAACTGAGCTGACAGGTCTTACTTACGTGGTCAACAAATATTGGACAACTAGATTTCTCTGCCGCGTCACTGGTTGATTCTCTTAGACTCCCAGTCAGCAGCACGGGCGCGATGTCATCGCACAACAATTCCACATCTTTTCATGTCTCTTAAAAAATCACTCAGCCGCCCTATCATGAAATGGGTGTGCTTTCTTCCCTAGCAGACCTCACCACTCTGGTTCCTGCCGCAGCATACTGGTGACACTTCATCCTCATCTGCTGTGCTGTGAGCTAGTCAGCCTCACCTGAGTGTGACTCAGCATTCCGGCATTGATGCGGTATGACTCGCTGATCGAAGCTGACACAAAAGAATTGTCCAATCGCAAACGCCGACATCACCAGACTAGATCAGGGTCCAGGTATTGGCAAGAGCCTTCCGATTTTGGTTCCGTTCCGAACAGTCGAAGTGGGTTGTGGGAGGATTGCCTGCCCTGTCCCTGACAAGTGAGATGATCTGCACGTTACATCTCCCGAAGGGGAAACGATTGCGGATGAGAAAACATGTTTTGCACTGCAAGGTTGCTAAATGTTTAGCAGATGTCGACGAGAGGGGGCACTTTGTAATCAATGTAGCATCACTCCCAGCGAATTTAGTGCCATGCGAGGGCTTCTTAGCAGCTTCTGTACTGGAGAAGGGTAGAATAGTTCTCTTAGTTCGGAAGTTTAACACCTTATTGAGGTCCTGAAAAAATACAACGAAATTTGTCAGGTCAGGATGGTTGCCGTGATTGCACTTGCTGATGTGTCCCTAATGTTTGGAGCGAGGGGGAATGGCAGAGGGGTTACCGTACGGGAAGCGGTACACAAGCGACGCGGGAATGCGGTGGTGTGTGGAGAGGAAAGGGGAGGGAATGGGGGGATACGCGCACATGCACTCGCCCGTTGATACTGTTGTAGCGCAATACCGATCTTGGCCTGCCCTTGCATGCATCGACCCAATGCAGCAGGCTTTGACGACAGCATTTTCTCAAAAATAGGGGAAACCGAAGCCACCCTCTATTATGTGACGCAGCTGTGCGAGCAATTTCACAAACTTGAAGAGCATATTGCAACGAGAAATCGATAACATGGATGTTGACACACAGCCCGATTTCCAGACTGCTGGAGTTCACAAGAATCGAGTTTGTGCCATAAAGAAAACTCTGAGCGGAAAACAACAGGGACACATTGAAACCGCAAGCGCTGACGATACAATTGGAGCGTGCGCAGCATCTCAGGGCGTATTCCTGGCCTTGTGTCATCCCGGCTTCATGTCATCCGAAATTTGCGGTATCCAATCGAAAAATTCAAATTTCGAACCGCGTGTTTTCCGATTAACTACCTTAATTGTCGGATGACACAAACAACGGATGACCCGAAGCTAGGAATACGCCCTCAATTCTCGAAAGTCCCACTCACGTACACCTGATGCCTGTTTGAGCCCCTCCCGGTTGCCTTACGAAGGGGGCGTATAAGCTGTCACGAGCATTTCGCATAAGTTTCGTCAATTCGCAGCTAGCTAAAAAGGATTCGCATGTGCTTATAAACAAGATCTGTAACCTAGTTTGACTTCAGTCTCTTCTGCTTGACTTCGGTCTGTACCTAGTTTGACTTTGGTCTGTTCGTTACTATTGGTTGATAACCACGCGACGCGCTTGTAATGTAGGTGCATAAGGCTGGGGAAACGACCTCGGGTGCAGCGTATCCATCCGGCGCAACGGAGTCAAATTCGCGTGCATGGGGTGAGCATCAGCTGTATGTACTGGACGGCGTCGGGGAGGTGATCAAGGGATGCCCTTTCCTTCGACGGCTGGGATGGAGGATCGAACGTAGACTTCGTCACTGTACACTGTAGTTCAATGGCTGCCAGAAACGATCGGTCTGTCATGACGGGACGGGAATGTCTGACAGATCCGATGGACAACCTGAGGGGTGACGCAGTGGAGATTCTTGACAGTCGAGTTAGGGCAGCCTTCGACATGTAGGGAGTGCAGAAATGTGGTTATCAGATGACTGAAACTAGCGGAAATTCGGTTATCTCATCAGTTTGGGCAGATTCAGCTGTCTACACGTGAACATAAGGGCACTGCCCGTTCCGGAAAAGAATGTACACGCTAGCAAGGTCGAGCCTGGCTTGCTGTTCCGTGCGTCGTGTGACCAATAGGACTGTGGCATGCACGTCTCGAGCTGGCGATGATGCTGCTTCGCTGTTGACGCAATCATGAATTCGAGTGGCCTCCACCTGCTTGCGCACGGAAGGCAGGCTGTATGACGACATCCCTCACCGAACCGCTGAACCAAACTCATCCATTTTCCCTCTCCCATTGGCCCTATGGAAAAACATCTAAGGGTGCCAGGTTGGCTGATACTGTAGAGAATCATTCGTTGTAAAAATCAAGCCACTCATCGGGGAGACGCGCTTTTGGTGGTCTGCCTAGATGAAGCAGGAAGAAGATTCGATTGAACTCTGACTAGGGCCGGTCTGAGAATTACGTGGAACCACCTGATCAAAGAGACATGGACGCTTCCCAGCCACATTTGCGACGTAGGCGGTCATACTGTTGCGTTTCAGGATTCCCCTTCTGAACCTGCCGCATCCAGCAGAATCCCTATTGGGAAAGTATATCCCCGCTCCTGACTTTCAGATTTCTCTCATATTCAGCCCTAGGTTTACTCAAAAAGCACCACTTTCTAGAATTTCTCTCACGCGAGGCCCAAAGTATGTTCAAAAGTGGTCTTGTGGGGCAATTTTTTCGACACGTGTCCTCTTGTTACACCATCTGACGAACTTCCACGCATGGAAAATTTGGACGGGGGCAAAAAACATAAAACCCCTAGAGAACCAGGACACATTCGCGGGAGGGATCAACCCTAAACACCTAGCAGGTCCCGTGTTTAGGGTTGCTCCCTCCCGAAAATGTGTAATGGTCCTTTAGGGGTTTTATGTTTTTTTGTCCCGTAAAAACTTTTCCGGCGCGAAAATTGCCCTGACAAACGGTTAGTTCAGAGTGGAAGTGCGTCAGCTGGTAACAAAACGACACGTGTCGAAAACTTCGCCCCGCAGGACCAGTTTTGAACATACTTTGGGCCTCGCGTGAGAGAAATAATGGAAAGTGGTGCTTTTTGAGTAAACATAGGGCTAAATATGAGAAAAAACTGAAAGTCAGGAGCTGGGATAGACTTTCCCATCCCTATTCGCAAGATGTTCACGCAAGTTTCCGTCTATTCGCAAGTGAAGATTAATATGACTATACCTGGTTTATTGTCGGGATGCAACTTGGAACATACAACTCCTATTATGACTAGCAATATTTCACGCTTTCATCTACCGTCTTGGATAAATTCTTAGGTTGATAATTTTACATCACCCCTAGCAGTTGCTGGTGCACTTTATTTGCTAGTCTGTTATCTCCTGAAAATGTTCACATTCATGCACGAAGCAAGGTGTTGATGCTGTTGTTTTCCAAGCAAGTGCCCCCACAGCAAACTTTGCATCGCATTATACACAAACAGGAGTCACGCATTTGTACACATATTTACACTGGACTGCTGCCAAAAAGCGACACAAGCAGCTCAGCTCCCAGCACCACATCATCTTCATCCCCGTTCCCTGCCTGTTGCCCTCTATCAAGAAGCAACCATGTGTCTGTCATCTGCTTCCTTCTCAAATCTTCACACGCTTCACCTTCCTCGGACCCTGTCTCGGGACTGGCTTCATTCAGATCCATAAGGGCAGGAACAAAGCACCTGCCCTCACCCACTGCTGTGGCTCCTTTACAGGAGGGAGAGGCTGCTCCCTGGAGGCTCAAGCAACTCACGCCGGTGCTATCAGATTCCCTGGTGCATTCCTCTTGCGCACTCGAGGGCATGGTGGGAGAAGAGGCTTTGCGGAGCTTCTTGAATGGGCGATAACTCTCGAGGAACGCTGGGGCTGCAACAGCAGGTGCAGAGGGAAGCGCAACAGCCACTGTAGCGGCAAACGATGTAGTCACATGGGACGAGGCGACGGACAGGGAAGCCCGCGCAGGGGAGGCTCCGGCCGGGGCAGGAAGGCCGTGGCAGAAATGTTTTGGAAGCATGGGAAGAGGAGAGCGTGGGCTTCCATCCTCACTGTCACAGTCGCTGTTGCTGCTGGCGGCACCAGTTGGGATGCCTCCAACGCATGACGCAAAATTGTCACCAAATGGACCAGCAGGAGCACGAGGCAGCTTGGTACGTGCTTTCTGCACGGGCGACTGGGGCAGCGGCTTGGCGAACGCAGGATTGACGGTCTCGTATTCCCGAAGCATCGCCGCTTCCTGGGGGGACGCCTTGCGCTTGCCGCTGCGGATTTTGTTGAACCGAATGCCACACGCATTGCACAGCGACTGCAGCCAAAGGAGAGGAGGAGCAAAAATTAGTGCCTTCCATGACCGCAACGGGAAAACGCTGACGCCATAGTCAATGACTATGCATAGAAATCAACAAGTTAACAAGAAAAATGGAAAAACGTAATTACCTTGGGTCCGGGAGGGCCGCTTCTCCAGAGAGGCGTTTTTGACGTGCCACAGTGCGCGCAGGTCTTCACGATTCCATCGTTCTGCACCGCAACAGCGTCGTCTCCTTCGCTGTAGTCCCAACGGTTGGGCGATTCGTCGCCTCCTCCATGCACCTCCACAGACTGACAGACCGTTTGCTGGCCCTGCTTCTGCTGACAAAGCTGCTGCATCTGCTGCTGGCGATAATCCTGCTGATGACAATTCTGCTGCTGCTGGGTATAAATTGCGCGGGAATCAGGTGCTGTCTGGACGACCGACTCCTTCATATCGGGACCTGACATCCGGCTCGTGGCTTTATGACGAAAGCTTCGGGGGAGGGCGGGCCTAGGAGCCGGAGATTGAGGACCAGAAACGGTGTTAGTAGGTTCGTAGCATGTAGCCATTCGCTCAAGCGACTGCCAGCGATTCGCGACGTCGCTGACAGGCGGGCTTTCCGGCGATTTATTCGCAGCAACGCGTCGAAGGGAAATAGGTTGCTGACGGGTTGCGAACGAAGGGACACGAGCAGGGTGTGTGCGAGCGGCTGTCGCAGTCGCGAGACCGCCGTGCGACTCGTCTGCGACGTCGTCGCGAGAGAAGAACAAGTTGACGCCGTGGCAGACGACGGGTCTCGAGCCGTCGCTCGCTGCGGGAGTCGCAGGGGCTTGGGACGATTCCTGTATCAAATCAGGGAAATGGTAGAGAAGAACCATGAATACCGGGACACAGATAAAAATATCAGAAAAACAAGTGCCAAAGAAAGCATACAAGCTGAGACGCAAGTTTCCTGATTAACAAGTTTGGTGAAATCGAAATAGCAGGAGGGAAAGGGGATACTATTGCGCGAGGGGATCTTACCTGTGACGCGGACTCAAAGAGCGAAGAAGGCGGGTGGTTAATGTCGATCATTGGTCGCGGAGAATTCGGTTGAGCGGAACATGCGAAAGCGTCGCTTGCTCCGTCGCAATTTCCGCCGAATGTCGCATACGAGCCGTACTCTTGCGTCGTATCTTCCGTGAAGCGATGGACGCGAGAGGGAGCGTAAGGCGCTTCGACCAAGGCGGCGGAAAGAAGGTGACCGAAGCTCATGGGAGCAACGAGGGGAGGCCCGGAATTTGAGGACTCGAGCGATGGGAAGTGCTCGAGAGGAGGAGGCTTAGGGCGTATGCATGGCTTTTCAACGATGTGGTGGTGATTCTTGGTCATCGCCTGATGCGAATGCGAGCTCGAAATGTGCAGCATGTCGAGATAACTTGGAGCGGTGATCGCAGACAGAAAAGGAGATAATGGACCTCGATTATGCAAACGCGCGTCGCGCGGGAGGGAAGATATAGCGAATTACTACAAAAGACGAAAGATACTCCAAGGAGTAATCAGCAGGTGGCGGGATCAGCAGAAATGCGTGAAATGCGTGAGCGTCTCAAAAAAGGCAGGTACGAGCGAGCGAGCGAGCATCTAAGAAAAGGCTCCGAAAATGACGCAGCTAGAGATGCGTCTTGAGCTGATAAGGCTGGTCTGATCTGATCACAGCACAGGAAGTCTCCGCGGAGGCTGCAGCATCAGCCAATGGCGTGCTGACTTTCGAACGAATGCGGAGGGGGCGATTTCTGGCTTTCTAGAATGCGGCAACCTTTCCACCTCAGTACACCAAGTGTTCGCTGATGTTTACATAGTAGTGAATTTTACGGTTTTGTTTTGGGTGCTATTTTGTATGGCGTGGGAGCTGGGCAAGTGTGTTAATTCTAGGAGCCTTTTCTTAGATGCTCGCATTCTGACCATTCGTCCCCGAAGGTCCAGCCTCCAGTCTGTCTAGCCCTTCGTTTTGGCTCGAGCCCATCCCGTATTGGAATTGAATTTTCACTTACATGTTTACTGAACAGATGCAACCGATTGCGAAAAGCAAGTGTATGAACATGGACGACTCAATTCTGCCCCAAATTAATTCCTTTCTGCTTGAGCAGACTTCCGTCCTTGACACCCCACCCCACCATGCCAGTCTGCCCTGCTTCAAGTTCGGTCAGCCTCACCTGAGTGTGACTTGGCATCCCCACATCGATGCGATGCGTGACTCGATGATCCATGCTGACGTGCACAAACTAACCGAGCAATCGCAAACACCGACATCGCGGGACCAGACTGGCTGGTCCCAGGTTTGGCAAGAGGCTTCTGTTATGATTCAAGCCCAGACGGACGGAAAAGGGGGATGCATGTCTGCCTTGCTGACGGTCACGGCGGGACCGAATTTCCGTTGGTACAGTGTTTCTGGAGTGTTGCGCATGCGGCAGCAGGTATGCAATGCAAGGTCTGTGGCGCAGAAGTTGGCGGAACTGATCAACTCCGCGAATCGGCATCAACATTTTGGGCTCAACTCAGATGTGAATTGCGGGCAGCGATTTGCGGCTGTTGGCATGAGCGGGGGCTTGCGGGAAACAGAAAGAGGGATCGGGGAAGGGGGGCCGCAATGGAGGGTGGGGGGAGGGCGCTCCGTTCGCACAAATGCATGTAGATCAATTTTCTCGTTCCGTCACCTCACCTCCCCTCTACATCTCGTTTCCGTTGCTCCCCCAAGCATGCACAAACTTTGATGCCTCAACGGATTCCTTGTGGGGGCACGCTGGTGATGCCAGGGAAGTTGACGCGCTGCGTCAATCGGACAGGTGCGTCTGGTTTGAGTGAGCCGGTTTGAGCAGCCGCCTCGATCAATTTTGAACAAATCCGGAGATCGATCGCTGCAGCACGCAAATTCATTGGTTAATGCTCCGCATGTGTGCGTGTAGTGCTGGACTGTTCCTGATCACGAGGGGCAGCGCCCCTTCATCCAATGGATATCCTCCTTGGGTTGTCCGCCAGCAAGGACCAGCGTGGCATGTCACGACCAAGTCATTTGAAATGAATGCATTTTATCGAGCTGGCGAAATCAGCCCAGCTGTGGTTTGACGGCATCATTGTCGCCAGTGGTATCCACCTGCTGCAGCAGCCACAGCAGGCTGTGTGACGTCTTTCCAAAATCTACACATCCTCTGAATCTCCCCGCAAGAATGCATACAAACTAACGACAACATCACGGGCAGCGTACAAGCGGGAAATTTTTGGGGCTGGTATGGAAAAGCAGGGTGGTTGGGGAAGGTGTAGCATGGTTCTGGGGATGAACTGGCTGAATTGTGATCTCCTCTCCATTCGTCACTCTACCCATGCACAGCATGGTTGGCTTGCGGACACGCTTGTGCATACTGATGATTCATTCTTGTTCAAAAGGGCAATTGCGCGATTCGGTGCATGCGCAAAGTTGCGCCATACAGTAGCGCATCATCACAACGTACTGTACACCGCATCCCTCCTTCCTTTCACTTTCCCCGCATCCACGCTCTCCTCCCTCTCCTCTCCTCCCTCCCACAAAACCGATGTGTAACTTCTGCGATGAATGGACGACTGGGATGTAAAGTCACCCAACGGACATCAATGGCTGAGACGACAATCAGGTCCGACAGAACCGTTGGGCGGGAGTAGTGTAGACTGGCGCCTTTGCGCAGCTGCCTCCCGTGTTTGTGGACAAATCCCGAGCTTGTTCCCACCTTCGGTTGATTTTCATTGGTTGGACACCACTTCCCCGAAATGCTGCAGCTGCAGAATCCCGATCACGAGGGCAGATGCCCCTTTCACCAATGAAGCCCGTCCTTCACGTAGTGATCCGCAAGGACTAGCGTGACAGTAACGAAAAAGGATCTGTGGAGGAGACCTCTTTTGAGTGCATTTCGTCAAGCTGTCGGCTTCGTAACTACCAGTGGTGCTCTCACCAAAGGTTGGAGCCAAGGCATGCTGTGTGACGCCAGCCACATCTGAAATGAGCAAATCAACCCCATCCGTTTCTGATCTCCTCTCCCGCAATTGGCTGTGAAATGCATGAAAGCTTGACGGCGTGCAGGGTTAGCTGGTATCGATGACGTGGTGAAATTCGAACCACGTATAGGAAACGCGCTTTCAAGACAGATGTTACAGTTCGGCAACCTGGCAGATTCCCCCCCTGACCAGATGTTGGGCATCACATCGTTCGCAAGGTCATGCTTCCCCTGCCCAAAAGAGCCAAACAGCCTCCCATCCCATCCATCCCATCCCTCCCATCCCCCAGAATTTTCGTCATGAAGCCACCACGGTCCGAGAAAAAACAAGAGGCGACAATGTCGTCCTAGGGTTGCGAAGCTTTTTGCATTATTAACATATGTTTTACAACTTCTATTACTAACTATGGATCTCGTTTTGAATGATTACCTAACTACTTATACCGAGTCTGTAACTCAAGAATGAGATTTGCAAAATTCATCGCGTTGGGAATCGAGCCTAAGACCTTCGGGATTCAAGCGAAAATTCACACTGCGCTAATTCCGACACAGAAGTGTGTCATCAAAATTTTTGAAACCGTTTATTGTTTGACGGAAGACAAACCTGCCTAGGATTCCATAAATCCTTTTCTGCTTCGTGTCGTTCTGCTTCAACTTCTTTTCTACTTTTTCTCCATTGACGCCCCCGACTCCTATACTCAGCTACTACTACCTAGGTGAGCCTTAAGGACTAGTTTTAGACTTAAGATGATAGTAGATTCGTCTATCTAAACCGTTTTCATTCTGTTTCAGCCGTTTAGACTTAGAAACGAGCTGTTTTTCTGCCGGATTTAATCCATTTCGACGATCGTCCAGGTCGTTCTTCCTTTACAGCATGCAATGCCAGTTTTTCGTCTCACTTTCACATCTTTTAGATTTGCCGCATAATTCCTTCATGTCAGAATGTTGTAATTGTCTAGCCTGCAGTGGGGTACTCTATAGCGAGTACAACCCAAATTAGGGTTTCCTATATGTACCTTGCATGCTGCTAGTACAAACCCTCTTCTCTGTTCTATCTTTCGTCCTACTATCTCGATATGGTAACAGAGCGTTCACGCTCCTGGCCTGTGGGCCCCACTGCTGCTTCCGCTGCCCTACTCTGTGTCGCGCGCCCCGTGGCGCGCGACCTTCACATTTTCATCCCGCCGCGCGCCCCGAGCGGGCGCGGCGGTTTCCTGCCGTGGGGGGGCCTGCGCGCGCCCCGCCCGTCCGTCGTGGCGCCCTGGGGAGCACGCGCGGCCCCCACCCTGCACGTCGCGTCGCCCTGGGGAGCCCGCGAGCGCCCCGCCCGTCCGTCGCGACGCCCTGGGGAGCCCGCGAGCGCCCCGCCCGTCCGTCGCGACGCACTGGGGAGCCCGCGACCGCCCCGCCCGTTCGTCGCGACGCACTGGGGAGCCCGCGACCGCCCCGCCCGTTCGTCGCGACGTCCTGGGGAGCCCGCGCGCGCCCCGCCAGTTCGTCGCGGCGCCCTCGGGAGCCCGCGCGCGCCCCGCCAGGCCGTTGCGGCGCTCTGGGGAGTCGCGCACGCGTTCCCCCCGCCCGTCCGTCGCGGCGCCCTGGGGAGCAGCGCGCGCCACCCCCTCCACCCGCCCAGCCCGTCCGTTCTGGCGCCCTGGGGGTCGCGCGCCATCCCCCCTCACCATCCCCCGCGCTCCTGCCCCTATCCCACCCGTTTTAGGGTTTCGGGGGTGAGGAGTGTGGGGGTGGCAGTTGTGGGGGTGCCGGTTGTGTGCCCCGTCCCCTACTCCTCCTCCTCCTCCGTCTCCCACTGCTGCAGCTGCCGCTCAGGGGGGTGGATGTGTGGGAGCCGAGGTTTAGGGTTTAAGGGGGGTGTCGTGGAAGTGGAGCTAGGGTGTCAGCAGGGGGTGTGTGAGAGGGGCGTGGGACGGTCGGAGGAGGTTGCGTGGAGGTAGCCGTCGTGACGCTAGCAGCGCCAGTAGTCCGGATGCCCTCGCGCGTTTCGGTAGCCCAGCGAGCCTGCTTCGCCAGTCGCCTGTGGGTCCGTTGCTCCTGTGTGTGCTCGTCGTAGCCGCGGAGCCAGATACTCCCGTAGTCCGGTGCCCTCGTGCGCTCGGTAGCCACTGTGCGCGCCGCTCCTGTTGCCCGTGTGTCTGCAGCTTCAGTCGGCGCCTTTCATCTTCTCGCCCTCACAGTCTCTCCTCCTCCTCACTTGCCCTCTATGATCACCTCTAGCTTTGCTTATAATTGTGAACTATTGCTATGCCTGCTCATTGTGCTGATTACACCCCACTTTGGCTATGGGGGTGTGTCAGAATGTTGTAATTGTCTAGCCTGCAGTGGGGTACTCTATAGCGAGTACAACCCAAATTAGGGTTTCCTATATGTACCTTGCATGCTGCTAGTACA